ATGATGCTGATGCTCCGTGAGCCGCGCGTGTTTCTATGGCTTTTCTCTCACGCGGAGCAGGCCGGGGACGTCATCGAAGCCATTCTGGGGTTCTGCGTACTCTGGCAAGAGGTCCACCAGGACTTCCGAAAAAAGGTTCGCCGGCGCCTGGGGCCTCACCCTGGAAGACTTGGCCGACCTGCGCAGTCGCATCGAGGCAGTCCTACCACGCATCTCCAAGCTCGTGGCTTTGGCCCATCACCACCCGGCTGCGCAGGAAGCCGGCTGCCCGCAGACCTGGAGCGAGATGGGCAGACAGGACTTCCAGCTGCAAGCCCCGATGATCGTTCTCGAGCGGATCGTCCCGGCAGCAACTCTGACCTGCCTGGGCACAGGCGACTGCTCAGTGTGTGCACTACACGTCGCACTGGCTGGTTCCGACGCCTCCCTCGGTCCCGACGACAGGGTTGCGGGCCTTTCCTACATCGGCGGCGGACTTGCCTTGTCCCAGACCGACCTCAATGCCCCTCCACCACCGGCGCCGGCCCCGGGCACCAGACTGGACCCTCCGTTCATCCCCGACGAAAGGCTCGCGCTCGAAAAGAAAAACAACAGATACGCGTGCGACAGTTGCGGGAAGGACTACCTGACTGCCGCTGATGGTACCTGGATCTCCGACAGCACGCGCCAGATGGTCGCTCAGAATAGACCTCAGGAGTACATCAAAGGCGCCAACATGGGCTGGTACTGCGCTGGCTGCTGGATACGGCACCTCGAGGACACTGGCTTCCCTGCGCCTGCCGGAACGAAGCTCGCCGACATAATCAGGGAACATGAGAAGCAGATATCGGGGACCTGCGACGACAGAGCGAGTGTCCTCCCTTCCCTGGGAATCCTTCCGCTCGGCTACGGCTGCAGCCACCTGGCGGACACGAGGCAGTTAGATGACCTCCTCATGGAACCGACGGGCATGAAGGTCCCCGAGTGTGCCAATACCACCATTCCGGCCCTCCGGATCCGGGACGACCGCTTCGGCATCAAAGCCGCTCAAACGCGGACCTACTCCGCGCGGTGCGACACCTGCCCCCAGGGGGCCCCGCTCCTGGTCTGGGACCCCGGCTCTCCGCCGCTGGGGTGCTTCATATGGAAGCCAGCTGAAGACATAGGAGTTCCCGAGCAACATGGACTGCCCCCCATCGATAAGCGTGCCCTGGCCTGGTGGGGGCGACAATGGAACGCTACTTGGTGCTGCCGGCGCTGCCTGGTCCCGATTTGGAACATTGGCCCGGCCACCCTGGACCGCATCCTGGATCGCGACTTCAGGCCGCTGTATCCAGATGAACCCCCGGCCCTTCCCCCGCTCAGGAGCCAGATTGGGTTCGAGGCACCTGTGGACATCGTGGATTCCCTCCCGTGGCTTGGCGAGGACGCCGAAGCCCAGGACCAATTCACCAAGGTCGGAGCAAGCAATCCCCCTGGACCCAGCCCCGCAGACAGCTCTGGCGCGGCGCCAGAGATCACCTTCCTGGCAGGGTCCCTGCCATCTGGTGCGTGTTCTGGTGGTGACGACAGGCCAGATACTCCCGTGGCGGCCGACGCAGACAGGTCTCAGGGTTCAGCTGACGACTCACGCATGGGCCACCGCGACCCGCCCGACGACGACAGCGGTGAAGGCGCGGAAGACGGGCTCCCCCTTCACAAGATGGAGCCCGACTACGAAGAGGATGGACTCGCCCGTCCTCCCACGCCTTCCGAGTCGGCCCAGGAGGGTGATGAGAATCGCTCAGGCGGAGATGGCCCACAGCGTAGCCCGTCGGCGGGCAGCTCCGACACCAGCCGCGAGGATGCCGCGACTTCAGTCACAGAGGGCACGCCCTACGCCGATCGCGGGAGGGCTCCAGCTCGAAACCCCGCGAGGCACGAGAGGGCCAGCGACGGTGGCACCTCGCGGTGCGAGCGCCCTCCCGCGCCCACCCCGACGCCCCCTGAGTGGAGGCCCCACCACTCTCGCCACACTGGCTCTTCGGAGCAGGACGCACTCAACACGCTGTCCTGCCCTGATGGAGGCGGCCCAATGTACAAAGTCAGGCTGGGCACCGTCGAACTCAGGCGTCCCGACGAGACGCCAGCCAGCTGCATATCCAGGCTTCAGTCGCAGCTGGGAGCAGTCTTTTGCGCACTGTGGACAGCGGGCGCGCAGCGTACTCTGCCCCCTGGATGGGGGGCGCCCAAGTCCGACCCGAAACTACACACGCCCGCGGATATCATCAACTTCCTAGAGGCCTGGAAGGACTGCGGGTACGACGCCTACGAGATGGACAGGAGACTGGGCTATGGTATCGACTGGAACAAGATACGAGCCAACTACCTGCGGCACTCCCAGACAGACGACTGGAGCAAAGGCGGCTATCGCCACACGGGCTGGCGCGACCGTGCGACAAGTTCCTGGGACACCTGGAGCAGTTGGCAGGGCGAGTGGCGCGACGGATGGCGTGAGGAGCACTGGCAGGCGGGTGGCAAGCGCGGCGGAGGTTACCCTGATGATCGGGAGGATCGAGACGAAAAGAGACTCCGCTGGAAAGACTGAACTACCTCTCTGCCCTCACCGCCCCCCAGTGCCCGCCCCACCGCCTGGGCTTCGCAACGCACCACTGCGGCCCTCTGCTGCCCTTTCCCTCAACCTGGGGCGGCCCTGCCCCCCCCTCCCCTGTTCGGCGCCCTCTCTCACCCGTTGCCTTGGGGTGCCGTTCGGTAATGCCGTCTGCTCCGTGCGTGACACCGCGCATCCTGCAAACCACTTGCCGCTGGCATCGCTGCCTTTCTCCACCGGTGGCCGACGCCCTCTTGTCACTCGGCTCCTCTCTCCCCGCCATGTTTCACTTCCTGAATCCCAGCGGGCGCTGCCCAGGCCGCGCCGCTGGCCCCTAATCGCGGCGCTCTGCCGCCCTCCGCCCGATGCGCGCGCCCCCTGCCTTTGGATCCAGGTGTGCGCTTCGGCAATGCCGTCCGCCGCCTCTCCGCAGTGGACTCGCGGCCCCAGGCCCTACTGTAGCTGTCTCACCGCCAGGCCTTCCTGGCCTGTCAGTGGGCCATTGCCGCCTGACCGCTGGCTTCTCCCTGGACTTTCTAATCGAACGATCGGCCTTCCGCCGTCACCCTGGACCTTTCAAACAAGAAGGACGGCCTTCCGCCGTCGCCCTGGATCCGTTGGCTCTGTGGGACACGTCTCGGGTACAAGACGTCCTGCCCCTCTGTGCTAGACGACTCGGATGGGTATCGCTGGGCCACCTTTGATGTGCACACTCCTAGGGGTCTGCCGTGCATCGTGCCCTCATTTACCTTCCACTCGTCGGATCTGGGCTGTCGCATCTCAGGTGTGGATGTTCTGTCTTGTCATCGCTCTCCACACCCTGGATGCGCTTCTTACGTTGCGACTGGCTCGCCGCCTGCTCTTCAGTTGGTACTTGTCCCCAGTCAGCCTGTGGTACCCTGCAGGCTCCATGGATCGGTGCCCTCTGGACGTCATTGCTGGACGGCTTCCTACCGCGACCTTGGATCAGTGGCTTTGTGGGACTTGCCTGGGTATACACGGTCTCGTTCCGCTTGTGCTCTCCGTCTTATTGGACTGCACTGTGACACTGTGCTGTGCACGCGCCGCGTTTCGACGGGAGCGTGCATTCGGTGCCCTTCCACCCGTTGGGTCTGGGCCGATACGTCTTGGTCTGGTTGTCTTTTCGGAACATGGATACACCTTGATGTCGCTGACGCCGCGGCTCGCTGCCGCCGTCGGGATCCTCGTTGGACTTACCACCCCGACCTCTGTGTTACCCGACAGGCTGGGGCTGGCGTCCTCGGTCGTTCCCTGTCCGCTCTTGGACGTCGGAGCGTTTTCGCGCCATTTTGGCTGCGCTTGGTGGTGTCGGTGCCTACCTCAGGCCTGTTGGACGCACCTGCATGCCCGTTCAGGGGCTGTCATGGCACCTGGATTGCATCGTCTTCCCTGGACGCTGTCGTGAGCCGCCTGATCCGCGGCCCTGCGCGCGTTAGGTAATTTAGTCGCGTCCGCGGCCCGTTCGCGACCTTCCGCCGCTGGCGCTTCCGCCTGCGGCTGTAAAAAAAGTGTCCCCACCAATTCGTACCGCGCCTCGGACGTTGTGCCCGCTCCCTGTCCCTCGCCTTGGAGCCGCGAACCAAGAAAAAGTGTCCCCACCAGTCGCCGTTCCCCCCGCGCAGTCAGCCGCTGCTGGGTAAGTGGGCTGGCCGGCTTGCGGCGCGTTTAGTTGCTAATTAGGCCGCTTTCGTGACCCGTAGCGCTCCTGATTCCGCTAGCGCCTTCGCTGGTGGACGCGACCGAAAAAAAGTGTCCCCACCAGCCCATCTAGAAACAACTATGCCCAGGCGGGTTGTATTGACCAGCGCAGTGTGTGTGTGTGTGTGTGTGTGGTTGTTGTTGTTGTTGTTGTTGTTGTTGTTGTTGTTGTGGTGGTGGTGGTGTGTGTTTGTGTGTGTGTCTGTGTGTGTGTGTGTGTGTGTGTGTGTGTTAGAGCATGCAGTGGAGCGGAGCGGGGGGGGGGCAACCGTCAAGCAGAAAATCGGGATCGCCCTCCGCAGGCCCAGGAAATTACCCATAATGCCTCCGCGGCCTTTTCCATATGGGGCTTTCTGGCAGCTCCTTGGGCCATCTTAGGGCCCTCTTGGGGCCATTATTCTGAAAGCCTTTGGGGCACTCTTGGGGCCTTCTTTCATGCCCTGTTGGGGTCCAGGTCCAGGTAGAGGGGGTCGGGGGAGAGGTGAGCCTCTCCCCGAGGGGGAAGATGGAGGCCGGAAAAGCGACCAGGTTAAACCGTAGGACGCCGTTCCTGCCTCTCCCTGCAGTCCTCTGTGTGTCTGGCCCCTCCCCCCCAGAGATTGATCGCTGTCCCCGACCCTGCATCACCATCGCAACTCCCTTTGCGCTGCGGCCTCTTGGGGGCGCCCCCCCCTCTTTCGTTGCCCTCTCCTCCCGAGCGCGCTTGTCGGAGGTCTGGGGCGGTGGCGAGATTGCGCCTCCGTACACGACGTTCAACAGCTGCAACTTCCCCAGGCAGATCATGGCGAGCATCCACGCCCTGGGAGGGGTCCTGGCGCAGGGGTCGGGGCGAGACCGGAGCATTCCCTTTGGGTGGAGGGCAAAGGGTGAAATCTGAAATGCCGTTTCGATAGATTTTCGAGGCTTGAACCTGCCAGCGGTGAATCACAAGACGGATTGATTTTTGAGGTGCAAAAGCTCATATCGATTTCACCCTGAGCTCTCCACCCTAGCTAGAACGCTCAGCTCAGGAGGCGCAGGCAGGACGGAAGGGACACGGAACCAGGAACCGACCGACCAGGGCGGAGGGGGGTGCTCAAGTCCGGGCGGCCCGTCCCCGATGTGCACGACTTTGACATTCTGTCGTCGTGAAACCAGCGCGACGGACGGTTTTTGTTCGTCTTCGGCTTCAGGGGGCCCTCACCGGGCATCGGAACCGTCAAAGTTCGCCTGGCGAAGGAACCAACCATCTGCAGTTGCGAGTGCCGCGAGACAGGTGGGAACTGCGGGAAGGGGTCAGGGCAAGGCGTGGGAAGGACGGAGCGATTTTGCCAATTGTGTCGCTGAGGTCAGCCGTAAAGTATTACACCTGGATGTAACTTGCCACGGTTGATCTGCGCGTTTGTCGTCGCGCGTTCGTCGACAGAGGCCTTAAGTGTAGCTCCTCATGTGACCACGAAACGTTTGAGGGGTGCGTCGAAACGGTGTGGAGAAGACACGCGGGCGCAGTCGCAGGGGCCTTAGCTGCCCTTATGGGGCCATGAAGCGTGTGAGGGGTGTGCCGACATGAAGCCCCGACGCCATGCGAACCCCGGCATTTGGGCCTCAGCTGCAGCTCTCTATGCGGCCACAAAACGTGTGAGAGGCGTGCCGAAAGGAGGCACCGACGCCATGCAAACCCTGGCCTTTGGGCCTTAGCTGGAGTTCTCCTGTGGGGCCACGATAGTGTTAGGGGTGTGCCGAAGTGTGCCGAAATGAGGCACCGACGCCATGCACCCCCCTGGCATTTGGGCGAGTTACGAAGCGTGTAAGGGGTGTGCCGAAATGAAGCACCGACGCCATGCGACCCCTGGCTTTTGTGCGTTGGCTGGAGCTCCCTGTGGGGTCACAGAAGGTGTGAGAGGGGAGCGCCGAAATAAGGCACCGACGCCAGGCGAACCCTGGCTACGCTGCGCTACGCTGCTCCCGATCGGCCCGAAGGCCGTGCCAACGTCGTGCATGGATTGCTTCACGGGCACGGGGAGGAGCAGAAGCAGGGCGGGGGGGGAGGGGAGGAGGGAGGGAAAGGGGAAGGGAAAGAAACCGTTCAGATCTCGTTAGCAGGCACCTTCACGAAGAACGCCACGTTGACAGGTACATATTCAGTCAGTCCACCTCTGAAGTGGTCGGCCTCGATGGCGCGACCGGCTAGGTCGCCAAGCATACGACAGAGAACACCAGTTTGACAAAGATCTGGACTAACGCGAATATGTCTGTCTGGGCGCAACAGCCCGTCACAGACTGGAGCATCAGGCGAACCCTGGCATTTGTGCCTTACCTGGAGCTCCCCATGGGGCCACGAAGCGTGTAAGGGGTGTGCCGAAATAAAGCACCGACGCCATGCAAACCCTGGCCTTTGGGCCTTAGCTGGGGCCTCCTATGGGGCCACGGTAGTGTGAGGCGCGTGCCGAAATGAGGCACCGACACCATGCATCCCCTGGCATTTGTGCCTTAGCTGAGGCCCCCGTATGGGACCACGAAACGTGCGAGGGGTGTGCCGAAATGAGGCACCGACGCCATGCACCCCCTGGCATTTGTGCCGTAGCTGGGGCCCCCGTATTGGGTCACGACAGGTGTGAATGGTGTGCCGAAATGAGGCACCGGCGCCATGCGACCCCTGGCATTGGAGCCTTCTGTGGCGCTCCCTGTAGGGTCACGGAACGTGTGAGTGACTTGCCGAAAAGAGGATGATGAGGAATGAGTGAGTGGCGCGGGGCGCTGTCATTTTCAAACGGGGACCCAGCATAGGATGGTTGGGGACTGCTCGAGATGAAAAGCCGGTCCTGGGGACAGGGTCCAGACCTCTGGGGAGCCACATGGTGAAATTATCCCAGCGAAGGACCCGACCATACGCAGTTGTGAGTACAGTCGTTGTGAATATCGCCTTCGGCGCCATGCGAACTCTGGCATTTGGGTCTTAGCTGGAGCTCCTATGAGGCCTCGAAGTGTGCGGGGGGTGTGCCGAAGTGAAGCCAGCGTGGACCCCAAACAGTGTTTCTAGCAATATATGCTGCGCAATATATGCGGAGCAATTTATGCGGTGCAACATATGTTTTGCAATCTATGCTGTGCAATAGATGTGGTGCATCTATGTGGTACGATCTATGTTAGTCAATCTGCGTTGTGCGATCTACGTCGTGCGATGTATGCTGTGCAATCTATGCTATGCAATCTATGCGGTGCGATCTATCTGGTGCAATCAATGTGGTGCCATTAACGTTTGTTCGTTGTGAGTTGTCAACTCCGCTGCTCGCGCAATCATACAACCCACCCACCCACCCGCAACTTGGTTCGCAACAAATCCATGTGGCGGCGACTGCAATGAGTGCTTGGCGCTGGCTGGCGCGTCGCTGCGGCCGCGCTAGCGCGCGAGGGCTCGCGAGCAGAGCGGCCAGCTATTCTGGCGTGACCGACGCGGCCGCGATGGCGCTGACCACTGGGCACTTTCCAGCGCGCATCGCAGACCGCGCTGACGCGCGGGAACTTCTGTGCGAGTCAGTGACTTGGACGGGCGCAGTACCATGGCGACGTCGACAACGGCAGGCACGATGAGGATTGTAGCGATGCTGGTGACGACGATAACCATGACGATGTCGACGGCAAGGCCCATGACGGCGCCGATGCTGATCACGCCGATGACGATGATGGTTTTCTCGCGTCGGTGGTGAAGGTTTTGGAAAGATTTCAACATGGGAGCGCGGCCGACACGCGCGATTGGCCCGCATGGTGTTCTTGACAGGGATCGTGCCCCCGCCCAGCACGCGCGCAAGAGCGTTCGGATGATCTCGACATGTGCGCGCGAGGCCCGTTGTGGGCGCACTTGATCAAACTGTTGCACCCTATGATTTCTTAACATTTAGCAATATTTCGCGCGCAGATGTCTTTAACGCATACTCAGGTTGTACATCCATGTGTTCTACATGGCTTTGGGGCTCCATGTGGTGCACTTTGTGTGGTGCAATGTATGCGGCGCAATGTATGTGGTGCAATCCATGAGGTGAGATCTCTGTTATCGAATATAGATTGTGTAGCCGATGTGTTACATATTATGTGATGCAATCTATGTGGTGCAGTCCAGGGGGTGCAGCCTCTGCGGGCAATCTATGCGGTCCACAGGCGGCGGCGGCGAACAATCCAATGCAAGACAAGGCAAATCAAAGCAAATCAAAGCAATGCGAAACAATGCAAATCAATGCACGGCTAAGCAAGCCAACGCATCGCAATGCAAAGACGACGGGCGGCGACGCGGGCGGCGACGCGGGCGGCGACGAGGTGGGGACGGCGGCTACATAGCCGCCAGAACGGCTGACGGGCTCTGTTCCATAGAAAAGAGCAAGAACCCGTAAGCGCAAGCATTGTTTGTGGAATACAGCACCGACGCCATGCGAACCCTGGCGTTCGGGCCTTGCCTGGGGCTCTCGATGAGGCCACGAAGCGTGTGAGGGGTTAGGTCTGCCGAAATGGGGCACCGACGCCATGTAACCCCTGGCCTTGGGGCCTTAGCTGGGTTTCCCTCTGGGGCCACGAAGCGTGTGAGAGGTGTGCCGGAATGAGGCATCGACGCCATGCGAGCTTTGGTCTTCGGGCATTGCTGGGGCTCCCCGTATGGCCACGGAACGTGTGAGGGGTGTGCCGACATGAAGCACCGACGTCATGCGAACCCTGGTGTTCGGGCCTTAGCTCGAGCTCCCATTGGGCCACGAAGCGTGAGCGGGCTTGTGCCGACATGAAGCACCGACGCCATGCGACCTTTGGCATTTGGGCATTCGCTGCAGCTCCCTATGGGGCCACGAAGCGTGTGAGGGGTGTGCCGTCATGGAGCCCCGACGCCATGCGAACCCTTGCATGTGTGGCTTAGCTAGAACTCCATTTGGGGTGACGACAGGTGTGAGTGGTGTGCCGAGATGAGGCACCGACGCCATGCGAACCCTGGCATTGGGGCCTTAGCTGGGGTTCCCCGTAGGGCCACGAAACATGTGAGGGGTGTGCCGACGTGGACATGCGGAGGGCAGAGGCAGGGATGGAAGGAGAGAGGAGGGAGCGGGAGGAGGAGGAGGAGGAGGAGGAGGAGGAAGAGGAGGAGGAGGAGGAGGAAGAGGAGGATGAGGAGGAGGAGGAGGAGGAGGAGGAGGAGGTTGATGAGGTGGAGAAGGACGCGAATGAGCAGGAGGAGGGAGGAGGAGGAGGAGAAGGAGGAGGAGGAGGAGGAGGAGGAGGAGGAGGAGGAGGAGGAAGGTATGTGGAGGAGGAGGGGGAGGATGAGAGGCTGGATTGGACTCCTCAGGAGAGCTCGGGCAACTCGGCACGAGAGAAGCGAAGGGAACGAGGGTAGAGCAAGTACTCGACGCGGATATCCCCATATGTGCATCTCATACTCCTGTCACGTCTCGCTGGGGAGCTCTGTCTGCGAGCATCTGGGTGTGAGAGCGAGTCAGCGTCGACGACGGGCGCTACAACGACGACGGCGACAGCGACGACTTCAGTGACGTCCTCCTCCTCTGGGCATCTCTCATGAGAGAGATGAGGGCGGCACACATTGAAGCGCGAGGGAGCACTGGAAGGATGGTCATGAACACACGACGTCGGATGTTTGGGGAGAGGCTTCCGCTGGCTGCCGCTCCCCGCCACCCTTGCTGCCGTGGTTCGCCACGGCCGCCTACCGCGCTCTGGCCCTGCGCGCCTGGCTGCTGCTGTCCCCTCGGCTGCTCATCGTCGAACTCTTCGGCGTCTGAGCGTCCCTTCTTCCTCTCGGCTGTTCCCTCCTCCCCCCCCCTCTTTGCTCGCT